CAAAGCGTTATTAAACTTTTTCGTAAGTTGGTATTTTTAAAATATAAAAATAAATATTGGCAAAAGAAAAACAAACTCAGATTCCAAGCACGGACCTGGTCGTGCTCCGTTCCTTCCGATTCTCTCGGTTCTGATGAATCACACATGTGACCATCGCTCATCACTTTCGTAATCAATATTCAAATCTTATATACTTCTTTACAATTTCACTTTAGATTAAATAATAATAATAACCTAATTAATCATGATATATTTTTAACAAGATAATTTGTATGATACCTGATTTAATTTCTTTTAAAAATGTCAGTTATTACTATTATTTCGATTACTATTAAAAATGATAACTTATTTTTGGGAAAAAGGATATTTTGTATCGTAACTATTTCGATTAACAATAAAACATAACTTAGAAAAAAATTCATAGTGTATTTTATTAATAAAGGGGTGTCAATCTATAATAAATAATGAAAGTTGTTTTTTTTTTCAAATAAATCAATACAGAAAAATATATTTTTATTGTATTAATCTTTTTACAGAAAAAAATAACATTAAAGAAAAAAGCTTCTTTACGTTATTTTGTATGCAAAATATAATTTAGTTCTACTGTGTACTCATACAACAAAATGGAGTTTTTCTGGGTATTTTTATAAAAGAAAATTGGAATGTGCGAATAGAGAAAAGGGTGTACAAATAACAAATGGTCTTGTATACATATTTCCTCTTCCGGTGGGTCAGCAGTTTATCAAGGCCCAATTTGATTTGACAAATTTATAATAAAAAACTCGTTTAAATTTTGAATTTGAGTCGATTAGTTTATACATAAATTTAATTTTCATAACTTTAATTTGGATAATTTATCACAATTAATTTCATTATAAGAAATACTATTTTTTTCTATTAGTTTGTTTTGAAAATATAAATTAAAACAATTCATCTAATTGGAAGAGAAAATAGGCTATATGATAACAAATTGAGATTTTGTTTAGTTCAAACAATTCACACCAAATGATGCACTATATGATGAATAATTTATTTTAGTTATGAATTAGAATCGTTTAAAATTTGAAAGTAATTTGAAATTCCTTTTAGAAATTTAATTTCAAAAGTAATTTACATATTAATTTTAAGTAATTTATTTGAAAAATATTTTAAAACAATTTTCGATTAAATTTTCAGAAATTGAAATTTTAAATTAATTTATAAATCATTTATGAAATTAAATGAGATTTTGTTTTTGTGTGTCAACTTAAAAAATAAGACCTGTTAGCCTAAAAAGAGTATGGTACAAAATGAAAGGGCCCTCATGCTATTAAAACCATCGAAGCCCGAAAGACCAAAATATGAAGTCCATTGGGCCACCATCACTCCACCAAAGAATAAAATCGGACACATTCTTCCTGCACCCCTATATTACTTAAAAAGAAAATAATACTTTTGTTAGTTTTATAGAGCGACAGATCTAAAAATATATTTTAGAGTATTTCGAATTAAAAAAATCCAGAAAAGATTGGATAAATGGATCCAGAAATATATGATTTTTTAAAATTTTATATTACAAAAAATTTGTAATATAGTTTTATCATTTTAAAAAGATTAATTCAATAAAGCTAAATTCACAAATAATTTTTCACTATGATTGATTCATTTTTTTTTTCAAAAGATTTTCGGGAAGAAATTTTTGAAAATATTACGAATTGACCTTTTCAAAAACTGATTTTAGAATATTTCCAGAAATATCAATCCAAAATATTTATGGAAAGATCATTTCGAAAAGTTTTTAGAAGAGTAAATTGAAACCTATTTATATTAAAGGTAATATTATTTTTTAAATAAATATGGAATAGATGAATAAATAAAGTATGAGAATTTCTGTTAAAGTACTTTATTAAAAGATAAAACAACCTAGGGGGTAAAAATAGCAAAATTTGGGTGGGAATAGTAGATCCAATTGAACTCATAATTCTGCTATTGTCTCCTTATCTATACTTTTTGCCTCTTAATCCGCAATTGCTTAGTTTTGATACCAGAGCCCATGTAATAAAAAGAATTAATATCCACACAAAAGTTTTAACCTTCATGATTTAGAACTCAAAATAGCAAGGAAATTAAATAAACTTTGCATAAGTCAGGCTGATTAACTAAATTAATGAAAAAAATTATTAAAACGAGATTATTTCAAAAGATTAAATTAAAGAAGATTTTTTTTTTTTGGTATCACATCGAAATCTTTGTTTGAATCATGTGGTGATTTTCAATGTTACGTGACACATTTTGAAATTGAAAACCAGACCAGAGATTCAACACCTTTAAAAAAAAAAACGGAAATAACGGGCCTGGGTGTGTTTTAATGATGTGGAAACTTTAAAAGGTTTTTTTTTTGCATAATAGGGTTAAAAGAAATCCAATTTTACGTGATAGAGTCGGATTCGAAAAAAAAATTGAAAATGGGTTGAATGGGATACACAATTTAAGTAAAGAAATAATGCTTTTGATTTTAGTTGTAGTTTTTTTTTTTTTTTTTATGTTATGTACCACAGTTTTCATTTTAATTTTAATTTTTTATATATTAAAGTTATGCTCACTCCAATTCGTTGCACAATGAAAACTCCATCTAAGAAAAATTGTAGTAACTACTATAATATGTTTAAAATAATAAAAAAGCGAAAATAATGGGCCTGGGTGTGTTTTAATGATATGGAAACTCTAAAATAGGTCTTTTTTTTTTATATATGTAACAGGGTTAAAAAAAAAACAATTTTACATAACATGGTCAAATTCGAAAAGAAAGTATAAAAATAGATTAATTGGATATAAAATTTTAGGTAAAGAAATAATGTTTTTTATTTTAATTGTAGTTTTTTTTTTTTTGAAATCATGTACCACAATAGAAACTCCTTCTTATGGAGGAAGTGGAACATTAAAAAAAAAATTAATATTTAGCTAAGTTTATAGGGACTGCATTTTATTTTATTTTGATATATTTTCAATAAACTAACATTTTTGTAACCATTGAAAGTATAAAGATGTATAAACTATTAAATAGACATATAAGAAAAGAATGTAAGATTTAAATTTTTTTAAAAATATATTGACAAAATTTGTTAAAAGGTCAAATTAATCTCACTTGGAGAGGAAAACTTATATATACATATAAGTAGCACGATTTTAAGAAAAAAAAAATTGAAACTTATGGTATCTATCATAATTTCAAAAATAAAAAAATAGTTACAACTAAAATCTTATACAATAGATTTTAGCTTTGAGAGACGTTGAAACTGTGCTTTCAAACAGATCCATTTTTGTAATTTTTTTCAAATTGAAGATCCAATTTTATAATTTTTTTCAAATTTAAGACCCATTTTTGTATTTTTTTTCAAATTCGACTCCATAAAATAAAAATAGTTTTTTTTTTAACCTGTTAAGTAAAAGAGCCCCAAAATAGAAAGCAGGAAATTACAGATTTGGGGGGAGGATTTCTTTGACAAACTTAAAAGACACCAAAAGCTGCAAAATAATGAAAAAAAAAATCAATTTTTTAAAATTCACCACTTTTTTTTCTCTCTTTCTATATATTGTATTTATTGACTCTCTATTTTCATGAGTTTCTTTATCTAAGGTCAACATTTTTAAAATTGAATTAGTTATTCAATCAGTAAAAATATTAATTTAAGATTTAAATATTTAATTTGGATTTAATTGAATTTAATAAAATAATATTTTATAAAAAATATATAATAAATTTATCAATAACAATATTTTGTTACAAAAAATTTCTTAATTATAATAAAAATTATAAATATAAAATATTTTAAAAAATATAATCTGAATAATTAATAAAATAAAAATATAATAAAATAATTATTATTTAAAGTTAATGTAATTAATATAAAATATAATAAAATTTAAATATATTATATTTTTTATAAAAAAATTATATTAAAAAAATAATTTTATTTTTTACAACTTAAAAATCAGTGATTTTTTTATTTTATTAAATTTATTCCGATTTTATTGATTTTATTTTGATGTAATTAAAATTTGATTATTTTGAAGTAATTTTTAATTCTTGAAATGGATCCAATTTTTAAAATAGTGATTAAGGTAGGATGAAACTTGTCTTTTATTTATTATAATTGATTTTATATCCAACTCCTTATGTTGATTTAATTATTGAATATATGCTTTATACACTTATTTAAGAATTGTTTTATAATGTAAATCTTACAATTAAAAAATTACATTTAAATTGGTATTAGCCAAACAAACATTTTATAGTGAAGGTAAACCCACCTTAATAATCAAACCCCTAAATGCTTTTTACTTCACTATCTAATTAATTTAGGGAACTCACATTAATTAGGATACCTTAGCAATTTAGTTTCTTTCCTGTGTTTTTTTCTCCTCCACCTTTGAACCCTAAAATACCTCAGTCACAGAACAAGTCCTCATAACAGTAAGTAATTAAATTGAAGTATAAGAAAAAATATATAAAGGAAAATTATAAATATTATTTAGATATTTTAAATTAGAAAGTGTATATAATTATCTTTTAAGAAACTTAAATAGCATATTTCGAGGTGCAGTTTATTTTTATTTCAACAAAAATAATTGTTTGATAACCTAAACAACAAACCAAAATAGTATGTATAAGAAAATATTTTGGTACTATTTACGGTAAAAAAAAAAAAGATCAAAAGCTTAATCCCAGTTTGCAACTTACGAATATCACTGGTTTGGTGTTGAGTTGTTAAGAAACAGCACCAAGACTGTTAAGTACACTTCTGAAATGATGTAGACGCATGTAAAACTTGAACACAGCCTCAAATGTTGTGCTTTTAGAAAGGGTGAAAAGGGATGGAAACGAGTGAAAATTGACAATGAATCAAAGCATGCATGCACCATTTCCTAGATACACTGTCAATTTTTACTCATTACTCTCTACTTATTCCGTCTCTAGTCTCTAGCTACCATAAAAATATACATGTGAACATTACTGTGTTCTACCACAAGAAGTTACTAAGTTCAGAAGTAGATTGTGAGTCTTCAAGTTCATTTGATGGCGAGTGCACATGTCTCCCTTCATACGTGGTTATCACCATCCTTGGATCCTCCGCCAACCGCTCCACGCGTTTCTTCACTCGACAGTTATCTTGGGTGCAACGGTAGTAGCTTCTGCATGCAGTGTACCCAAAACACATCATCACAAAACTCTACTTCTGGGTCCAGGATTCTCATAACTTTGACAGAGTTAAACATCATTATATTTAACTTTTAGACAATGTTTAACTACAAACTAGTTTTTTTTACCTTGTTTATCTATGTATTATAACCCCCCGAATAGATAAGATTTACTCACTTTTCAAAAGTCTTATAGTCTTTGTGTAAAAGATATCGCGTTCAGCATTTTGTAAATTTTTCTAGTTCTGACCCCACAATTACACAGCCCCGTTAACCTGTCTCAAACCTAGCTTTCTGGGTCTACCTCTGTCTGTCCCTCCAGCGAAAAAGAAGTATATTCTGCAACATGTTGCATTATAAATAAATTTATGTCTTTTACATAAATATGTTAGAGGCTATAATAGAATCTTTGAAATGATGCTACTTTGAAGAGTTGGTTTATAATTGATTGATTATTAGATGAGTTAGGAAAACTTCAACTGTTTTATAATTTTATTCAATTCACATTAGACAATTCTATTTTATTAGGTCTTGATTATACATACCTATAGTATTATTCAGTTTCTTCAAGTCTTAACTGCTAACACTTCCACTTACAAGATCTAGTTTCTGCTAATATATATATATATATATATATATATATATATATATATATATATATATATATATATATATATATATATATAAAATGTAATGTAATCTGACATGTTTCTGTATATATGTAATGTAACATAAAACTTAACATCACCATAAGGTCCCAGAAGCCCTCACAATTGTCTAGCTAGCTGTATCGATGCGTTCATATATTTTCAGATTCATCTTTTGAAATACATGATACTTCGGAAGTTATAGAAATAGTTCTCAGAAAACAGCACTATTATAAGACAGATGTTTTTGTCTACGTCAATTGACAAAATTTTCAACTTCCCAGTTGTAGTTTCAAACAGCATGATTAAAAATGATAACCACAGTATGACTAAGTGTCACAAAACTTTGTGGTATCCCTTTGTTAATTACCCCATCGAATAATTAATTGTCTACATAATTGACAGTGAAACCATTGTTGAGCAAATATTGATGATAAAATCAGAAAACAGACATTAATATTTATTTTTTTACAATAAAAGGCACAAAAATCGTTTCTATTTGTATATTTTATGTGTGTAAACATTGAAACATTCCTCAAGACATGAAATCCTATAAAGAGATTTCTTCGGGGGGAAATCTTAGCACAGACCTGGAGTAGCAATGGCGTAAAGGGAAAAAAATAGCTGTGTTTTTGTCCTTGTACATATACCATAACTATAACATCTGAGTTATTTAGTTCTTTGACATTGGCAGTTTTACATCCTCTCCTTTACTTAATAAAAAATAAACGCTGGCATTTTTTCCCCCACAAGGCATAAAGTGATATCTATCTAGCTTTAATATGATTAGCGATTACAATCATGTCCGCATTACTAACCCAAATTAAACCTTCACTAAACCAGTTTAGTGAATCAAATATTCAATTCTGAAAAAAGTATGAAACAATAATGAGAGGGGTCGAGAGGTTGAAGAGAGAGAAGATATCGGATTTATACAAATATGCTTTATATATTTACTTTTTGTTGATGTATATGCAGAATCACTAAAAAAGACAAAAAAGAAAGAAAAATTTGAATTGGGGAGTATACCTTGGGTGCTGTGTGTTCTTTACCACTTTCTGTCCGTACTTCCTCCACTTGTAGCCATCATCCAACACATCCACATCGCTCATAGTCTTGAAGCAAAACCTTGGCTCCCTCACCTTTCTCCTTGCCTTTATTTTCTTCATCTTCATGGCAGAAACCCCTAGATGATGATTATCATCTCCTCCCATTCTTTTACTCATCAAGCAATTGGTTACTTCTTCCCATGCCCTAAATTCATGGATGATATGCAACCATTCATGAGACCTTTTTTTATAAGCAAAATAATATCATTGAGAACAAAAAAAGTCTTAGATTTAAGCACAAGGTGAGTCCAAATACAGAACGAAATAGATACTTACAAGAACCCAAAGTTGTGCAAAGCTAAAAGAACATCGCAAACCATAAATGAGACCTACCTATCTTTTCATTATAAATCTTTTTATAAAGATTAGTAAATACAAAAAATATTTGAATGCTCTCCGTGGTTGTTGAAAATGAAAACAAGTCTTGTTAGAGAGAGAGAAAAACAAGAAAGAAAACATAAGTGAGGGGTTATATATACAGTCAGTTATAAAAAACAAAATGGCTAACATGCACGATGAGATGTGAAAATTTAAGTACAGTTAATTTTCTCACCACGGATTTACTCTCGATCTGTTCAAGGAAAGGTGTTCTCCTCCTCCGCCTACCAAACTTGAAGTGAGATCTTCTCGTGGTCTTTGAACAGCGGTTGAAAATAGGGTTTCAGCAAAATTCGCTGCAGAAGAAGCAGGTTCAGATGAAAGTGAAGGAACTATTGCACTGATGGATTTCAAAGATTGATGGCAACCCAAAGGAGGAAAGGCCTGGTTTGGTGGAAAAGGATTAGTGAACCCCATCTGGGTAGGGATCTGATCTTGCTCGTCAAACAAGCTATGGTTAACACTAGTTTGAGACGTTGTTGACATCATTTCCTTGCTATCTTATCTTTCTTTCTCGTTTCCCTTCTCCACCCTTTGTGATCCAACACAATCTCTTCTCTCTAGCTATCTCCCTTTACCAAAACTCAGAGAAGATCATGATAAGAATAGTATCAGAAGACAAAAGTGGTTAGTTCCCTTTACAGAAGAAAGAGGGTTTCTCTCAAAGTTTGGCGACGAGGTTACACCATCTGGAAGTGTATCTTATAACATCGTAGCTCAACCAACTTTCCCTTTTCTTTTTGGCTCTTTTTACTTTAATTTCTTCAAAGGATATATGTCAATTTCCAAAACAATTCTTTCTTTCACATCTCGTGTGAAAATTCATTAACTAGTTAAATTGAAAAAGGAAAACAACAAAATAATATATAAAGGTGGGTAGGACAGAATGTTGAAAAAAGAAAGTGGGAGAATATGTAAAAGGCGAGACTATAGTAACAATTCGACCTGACCTTGCGGTTTGCTTCAAATGATAATGGTACTGTTTGTCCTATAAAGCTTGCAAATTCCATGTCCTTCGTGTTTAGTGGAACTTCACTGTGGCGTAGAAGTCAACAATACAAGACAAATGGAAGAAAAAAAAATATATATATATATATATATCAAGCTTAAGTTTTTTTACACCCTGATTTCTGATATGAACTCTCTTTTTACTCGACTCCTTTTCATTACAAGTATAGACCCCCAAGGATGTGATTATTTTCCCAAAACCATGAAGCTTTCATGCAACAATAACCCCATCACTGTAGATAATAATTATAATATGGGCAAAAGCGAAACCTGTTGAGTGCACAATAATAGAAGGAGAGATACATAATCAAGTGTGAGTGAAAATTATGATTTGCCAATTCACCATTGATTCCCTCAAAAGAAAGTAAAAAAAGAGAAGGGTTGTGTTTTTATCTTTCATCATACACATGATCTCTTTAGGGGCACCATATATTATAAAAGAAATATCAGAGGACAATGATGATGAATCTTGGGTGCAAATCTATCACACACACTCTGCATCAACCGGGGAAGATATCATTATGATGGGTGAAAGAGGCCCCTATTTGACTTTTTTTGCAGCAAAAAAGCCAATTGCCTTTCTTATGTGCCTTTTGTTATTTAACTTTCTAAAACTCGAACTAACCCACATCCACCTACCTTTTCCCTCAAATTCCTCCAGACCAACCTTATAATATTGCTATCATCTCTTCAATTAATTGAGTAACATTCATTATTAACTTCACGTTTTCTATGCCTAAACATTAGTGGTCCAATGTGGCAATTGAAAGCATAGTTTTCTCTAACCGGTTGAAAATTTACCCATAATTCAATAATTATGTGTTCTTTTTGTACTTCATCTACTTGCTTAACTAAGCATTATTAAATGATGAACTTCATTTGTAGAAATTAATGAATGAAGTAAAAAAGTAGCTCTTCAGTAACAGTGAAAGATTATATGATTGATGCAATCCATGAAAAAATGATTATTAATTTATTTTAACATGTTAAGTTTTTTTTAGTGAGGCACTGGAGCATATGTTAATAAAGAAAAGTTTTAAAAAAGAAAAAAGATAACGTGAAACGGAAAGAAGGTAGCTGTTGAAACGGGTCACCCTTTCGTCAGTTGTGATATCACACCAAAATGCACCACTGAATAGTAATTGGGTAATTACTGGTTAGCAAAGAATGGATGAAAAAACAATCAATCGTGTCCACCGGACCGGATTTACGCACCGACCAGGAACCTTTAATTTGTCTTTTCTTATTCATCTCTGTTTTCGGGATAAAACAACATTGGAGTGAATGCAATTTTTTAAACTTGTCCTACTATTGTTTTTAAAGTAAGAAATTTAAATAATTATATTTTAAATTTTAACTTCAATCATAATTTTATTTTTGGAGTGACACAGAATACTTAAATTTGAAGATTTATTTGATGTATCACGGCACACCTTTTTTTATTTTGTTTTTGTTTTTACTGGGTGAACACCGGCTTCTTTTGTGAAGGGTGATCTTCTTGAATATTTGTCTTTTGTTTTTGTTTTTATTGGGTTCAACATCAATTTGCATTCTACGTGAAGTGTGTGTCTTGCCGTCTTCAATTTCGGCTTTTAGTATTATTTTTTTGGGAAATGAAAAATAAGATATCCTTAAACATTACAACAAAAACATCAAATAATAAATAATTTTTTGTCACTAAATAATCAAAATTGGTCACTAATTAAAATAATGACCAAAATAATAATCAACTCTTAACGCAAAGAAGATAAATATTTCGGAGCAAGAGATAACATGAAGAGATAAAAAATTCGAAAAATAGTTACATAAGTTAAAATTAGATTAATTAAAAAAATAAAATTAAATAATAAAATGATTGAAATAGTAACATATCGAAAATTTGGTTACAATTTCAGTTATTAAACTAAAATTAATAATTTGGTTACTAATTCAATCACTAACAAGTAATTAAATTTTTCGATTCATCGATTTTAGTTACTATTTGACATTTTTCTAGTAGTGAAAGATACTCCGACAGTGAAGTCAATATTCTAGTAGTGAAAGATACTCCGAGAGTGAAGTCAATAATGAATGTAGTTAGTGTCTTTGTGATAAAATAGACTAAAAATTATCTTATCTTTCTAACACTTTGTAACTGACTAGGTGATGAAATCTGGAGCTTCTTAGAATGAGACTATGATAAGGATACAGTTTTAGTTTTAAGAAATTAGTACGGTAAAACATTATATTTTATGGACTAAATAATATTTTATCTTTGTTAATATATTTTTAATTCTTCTTATAGTTCCAACTAAAAAAAATGTATTTTGTATTTTTAAATTTTGTATATAGTGGAAGAAACAAATATTATAATAATTTATTATAATAGTTAATAGATAATATGATAATTTTAAAAAATACTGTAAATGTAATAATATATTAAGTATTTGTAGTATATGAAAATTTTAAAGTAATTTGTTATATGATTTTTATTATAATTATGATAATATATCTGTTATTATGTTAATTAATGTAATAAATATTTTAGGATAATTTTTGTTTACTCTCAGTTAGTTTATTTTATGTGTTTCTGATGTTGTTGTCTCTTCTTCTTACCTTTGTTGTTCATTGTGACTCTTAGTCGTCTTCATCTTCATTCCTTCTCCACGAGATGCTTTTCTTCTTTGCCAAACTTTACATAACTTTTTTCTTGAAGTTTATATTGTTTTAATTCCTTTTTGTTGTCCCAACACACTTCCCTTCATCTTCTTCTTTGTTATGGTATTATAATAAGAATGGGAGAATAATTTAAATTTGTTTGATTTAGTGTAATAGAAATATAGGAAAATGAAAGTGAGGTTGAATTGAAAAAAATATGTAAAATTTTTTACGACTGTTAATTATGTTAAGAATGAAAAATAATAAATAAAATTTATTTAAACTGAATCAATTATAAAAATAATCTATATAAAAAATATCATACATATTAATGACAATTTTTAGATGTTGTCAAGTTGATGTTATAATTATATTGATAGAACACAAGTATCATATTCATATCAATGAAGAATTTGACAGAATAATTACGCATTTTTTTTATAGACCATATGTTTCATCTTTCGCAACTAATATGACGTTAATGACCGTACTAAACAAGTAAGGAATTGAAAACATATAGCAAAACAAAAATTATATATTTGTCCCGTCATACATTTTTTGTTTTTTACCATGTGGCAATTCACGCACTATCAAAGTGAATGTTACATCACCAATTCACATTGTAATTCACGATACGAAAGTAAATTACATGGATCATAACCGTTAGAAAAAATTGCTCGTGGACTCGTAAAATTAAAAATATTAAATAAAAGATAAAATTAATTAATTAAAAAAATTATAAAGTGTGAGAGAATGTTATAATTTTTTTTAAAAGTACATTGTATTAATTACTTAAAAAGTCTTTTTTTTTTTAAGTTTATATGACTAATATTTTTTTATCATTTATCTATAAAATAAGGAAAATCACTTTATATTGTACTTTCGAAGGTTTAACATTTGAATACAAGTTTAGATACTAATCTTTTCCTTATTGGACTCGAAACAAAAAGATTGTATGTACTTTGGATATTACCCTCTTTTGCCTTTTAAACTTGAAGCTAAGAAATATGTAATTATCTGAGGATCATGTTGATCGTCGTTATCCTTATTGTTTTCGTTGTTGGAATATATTTTATGGTAGTTTTAACAGTTCAAGTTTCAAATATTACAAAGTTTATCCGTGACAAACTGCTGTTCTACAAGATTGGACACACCATATCTTGTTTCACTAGGACATATATCTCCTAATACAGAATTATCGGATGGTTCAGTTTAATATTACTTTGTTTTCGGATAAGTAAAAGAATTTGATGGTTGAATTTCACTATAGTGAGTTAATATTTTTAGCTTATTTTTATGTTAGACTAACTAGTTAATCGATGAATTTTAGTATAATTGAATTAAAAAATTAATATATTTATATCAAATCAATTAATTAAAAAATATTTAAATAAAATAAAAATGTATTTTTAAATTAAATTATATTAATAAAAATAATTTTAAGTTAAAGTATAATTATTTAATATATAAATTATAAAAGAATAAATTTATTTAATCTTAAAATAAAAATTAAAAACTAACTCTTCATTATTATTATTATTATTTATTTTTCAGTAATTTATTAATCTAAAATATAATTAATCTTAATTATTGAACTTGAAATAAGTAGTTATTAAATATTTAATATGATATTTAGTTTTAGAATAAGAAAATAAAATGTCAAATTAATTTATAATATATATATAATATATATATATATTATATATATATATATATATATATTTTACTTTTTATTTAATAAATAATTCTTATTTTATAAAACAGAGTCGTACATAAATTTACGGACTAGCTTAACATAAATCATATAAATTATGACCTAAATAGGTCATGTCAACCTATGTTTA